TGTTCATCTGCTAGAAGTGTTCCTTTATCAAAACCATGACGGATGATGACTGAAGTTGAAGAAGCTGTTATAATTGGGGAGCCCAAGCAAGGATTTCGGGATTTACTAAAGCGCGGCAGATTAATATACAGGGGGCTTCCTTGTAAACGGTTAAGTACCTCCACGAAATATGAGCCTCATATATAAGGCCGCCCGTGAGTGATAAAGGATCAGATTAGTTAAAAAAAATTGATCAACAAAAATTCTCGAACGCGTCAGATTAAGGTAGGGTGAGTTAATTAAATGCTGAAAAGTGTATATTCCAGTAATCTGACAATTTGAGAGTGACGCAAAGGAAAGGGAGGGCAGCAAAGTTGTAAAAAATAACGTCATTTCGACATTCTCGAGCGTAGCTAATTTTTTTTATTTTGAAGGAAATAACGATAACGATAAGGATAACGAAAAATGTATAATCTGACGATTTCCGCAAGAAATAACAAAATTTCATCGATAAAGTTTAATACGTGCAGCTGTGTGATACCTATATATCCCTCTCCGAGTTTCTATTCCTCTTTCACTTCATCTCTATCTATTACTCTTCCACTCCGTCCCCACTCTGAATTGTGTTGCCATGACGCCATCACAGCTGATGACAGAAACTCATTCGTGATGAAGATGAAGATTAATTAATCACTTGATTATAAAAAATTATATTTTTTGAGCAATTTTTAAAATTGTATTTTCTTATAAATACAAGTATTCTACTTACAAAACATACACTTATTTATTTGCATGCTATTTTCTGAGCTTTTGAATCATTTAAGTTCAATGATTTAAAAAAAAATTAAAAAATTGTCAGATTAGGCGAGTCCCTCTAGATAGTTGTCAGATTATGAGACAGCACGTCTACAACATAAAGATGAACCATATATATCTTAATCTGACAAAATGGCGAATTTTTTTGCACATTATAATAATGGCCACGAGTTTGCGTCAGATCGAAATCGTCAGATTATTGAATGAGAGCTTTTTTTTGTTGCACTTAACACCCCCTTAGAAAATCTGACGCACTCGATTAATTTTTTTTCTTTTCACTTTTAACCCTTACGTACAACCACCCGCATCATGCAAACGATCAGATTAATAATATACGAACATTATTAAAAATACGTAGGACATTGATACTATCAATATCTGACGCGCTCGAGAATGTTCATGCAATAGTATTTTTTTACATATTCAAAAATCTATAGCCGCTTCCCCCACCGATGAAAAGTTATTAATTATATAACATTTTTTTCTTCTTATCATCTAAGCTTTGCAACCTAATATGTCTCTATGGCGCTCGAGTAAATCCCCATTTTGCATCGTGGGCTCCCCTACTATTAGGCATTGACTCAGCAGTAGAATTTCAACTCGAAATGTTCACCTTACAAAAGAAATATTTTGAGGATTTGCTACATTGTCTGGCAGCAGCAATGTCTTCAATGTATCAGGAAGAGAGTGTGAGAAATCTTTACTGTTATAGATAACTTTATTACCATGACATTCTGTTTTTATTTCAAAGAATAAAATTGAAAGACAACTTTAATCGAATTACGTGCCAAGGTGGATTTTAAATATTTACGTAGCAAAAAATTGCGGTTTCTATCAACGCGGACTTCTCAAGAAAAACCGCGAAGGGTGTGAAATTTCATTTGTACGCATTTGATGCTTCAGTGAGTAGTTTTTCGATCGTCTCGGAATAATTTTCGAGTCCGATTCTTTGAAGACGGTAAAAACTGTCGTCCCTGATAAAAGCGAATCTCAACTTTCACACGATTCATCTGCCGTTTGAGTGTATTTGAGATGGCATTTCACTCAAGCAATGAGTTGGTTAACTTCAGAAAAGATCTCGCTAGGAAAAGCAGAAACATCGCCAAACTGCGACTTTCAACATACTCCGGTATGAAATAAATCAGGTGTCCCTCAAGGTCCCACTCCGGGACCCATCTTGTTTCCATTGTATATTATTCTCATCACATAGCTGGACATAACTGCTCATATCACATCATTTGTAAATGGCTTCATGTTGCTGGTATAGATAGATAGAGAGGTAGATAGTTTATTTAGCCACGTTATGTGAAAAAATACATTTGTAGCGAGTCAAAACAATAATGTTGAAGCTGTACAAACATATGAACAACCAACAAACATTTCAAATAGATTTACAAGTAAAATAAAAAAACACAACTATCACCATTGGTTACAGTTGTATTTTTGAGAGACACAAACATGAAGTAACGAATGTGGTTATTGAAATTTAAAAAATAATATAGTAATTAAAGGCCATAATTAAAGTGACTCAGATTCAAACATGTGAGTTGGTGAGGCCAAGTATTCGTTGACACTATAAAAACAATGTGTTGTTAAGAAATTTTTGTTAACCTCTTGAAACTACATATAGGTATATATTTAACAGTGGGTGCCAATATATTATGAATATTAACATTGAGTGTATGTTTCAGCCTGCGTGGTCTTAAGAGATTAGAACCTTCAGCAACGTTACCTTACTTATTTCTTGATCTAGAGCAAGTACATGTACCATGTGTCCAGTTGGAATGACTACCTCTTGATTTGCGAAGGCAAGGGCGTAGCAAACCACTATTATAATCTTTATGTAGTAATTGTTCACTGTAGTTCTGGCGTTAAATCTGGTCATTTTTACGCCTTGGTCAAAGACGAAACGAACTGGTTTAAGTTTGACGATAGTTGTGTCACGACGTGTTCTGGCAATGTATTGAATCTATTGGAGCCTCTGGAGACACCCTACATTTTGTTTCATGAAAGAGAGGACATTGGCAGTTCAAGATTTTCAGATGATGTGGTGCTGCAAGTTTTTCCGGTTTTTCTTGCAGCTGAAAAAGCAAATGCGCCACTGGAATCTTATTAATTTCAAGAGTTTGTATTTTGGAATAAAATATTTTTTCATAATTTCTGGATGAGACTGGAAATATCTTGTGTTCCGTGTACCATCTAGATTTTTTATTTTGGTTCGTACTTATCCAGAGTTCTATATCAGATGATGTAGAGTCCCCCTGAAATTCGTTGATTATTTCACATCAAATTCCAGGATACCCTGAACAAATGCATGGTTGGTACACATACCTTTCGTTCTTTCTCCAGCCTCTTCCTTCTCTCTCTCGCTCGCACGCCTACCTCGATAATCTGAATTCTAAAGCCGCCATGCATTTACATCATAACGCAAAGTGACCAAGTATAATATTGCATTAGATAGTATTAAATTTACAGGCTTTCCCTCGTCCTTTTCTCGTGCAGGACCCAGCTCCGGCACATACATATTCATATAATTGTAATCGCATCATGCATGTGTCATTTGAGCACTGTAACTACATTTCCTGGGCATTGTTGGCGGGTTATCGCTGAACCACCCTTCATCCCTCGGTGCTGTAGAGTCGTCTTTCTCCCCCGTTTTTAATGTGTCATTATCATTTAGGCGAGAAATTTGATGGGAACGGAAGATGACACGCAGAAACAATGAGATATTTCGTTTGTCTCGGGAGTTTTCGGTCGAGGAAGTTCTTCCACATAATTTTGTTTTCTTTTCGAAGAGGGTTTAGCTACTGTCATCAGCTTATTGAATGGCAAGTTGGAAATTTACGGTAAATGGTAAAAAGTCATAGATGACGAAGAGGGTTTAGCTACTGTCATCAGCTTATTGAATGGCAAGTTGGAAATTTACGGTAAATGGTAAAAAGTCATAGATGCTCATTTTGTGTGCAAAACGCTGAGTGCTCCAAAAAAAATTGTTTATTTCGTCAGTTATTGTCAGTTATTTTTCTGGTGCGAATAATCTTCATCAAGCTAAGCCTCAGCTTCAACAGTGCAAATCTCTCACTGACTCAACTTCTACGGTCTTATTTGGATCTGAGAACCAATGTTGTTTTTTATAATGGATTTGCATCTGCACCATACTTATCACCATTCGGTGTGCCACAAGCCTCCAATCTGGGACCCCCGCTTTTCCTCATCTTCATAAATGATCTCACCTCCGAGCTTTCGTGTAGCAACTTACTTTTGCAGACGACTTGAAGATCTTCTCATCTATCACAAGTTTAGAGATCTGCTCTTGTCTCCAGTCTCAATTAGACCTGATAGATAACTGGTGTCAAGTGCAAAGTTTGCTCCTTTACATGAAAGGCCAATATTATTGAATATTTTTATACTTTCGAGGATGAAATACTCCTTCGCGAACAAATGTTTTTTTGTGGTCACTCCAAAACATGCTGGAACGAGAATGTCTGCTTGAGTCCGAACTACACAGAGTGTTTGTGTTGCAAAAGCTTATTATTACACATATTTTCTGCTTATCTAATAGAACGTCATGCAGAGACACTTTCAAAAGTAATAAAATTCTCACGGCGCCCTCTTTTTATATATTAAAACTTTTGACTCACATTTTCAAGAACTTAAAAGCTTTAGAAAGCATTGCGATATTCACATGTATGACACCAGAAACAAATGAAATATCTTACCGAAGAAAATTTGTTACTCCGTGCAAAAAAAAGCTCCAGTGTATACTGGAATACGTCTATCCAACATCCTGGCCCTCGAATTGGCCCTCATTTAAAATTTAAAATATAACAAACAATAGTAGGTATATGATATCAAAATGTAAAGTTTTGGTATATTTATTATTAGTCTATTATATCCGCATAATATTCTTCCAAACTATAATAGGTTCTATCGGAAAGAACTCTTTTTACAGCTTTTCTGAAGCCAGTGTTGGACTGCATATTTTTGATATAATTTGGAAGGTGGTTGTACATCTTGCAGCCGTTATATATAATGGACTCCTTAACTAGAGTGGAATATGGTAAAGGTAGTTTGATATGGTTACTTTGGCGGGTGGCATATCTACTATTTGTAATGAAATTTTGTTTATGTTTATAAATGAGACACTGTTACGTGTTAATTTACTTTTTTTATGATTTTCGTTAAATTAACTAGAAAAAAAAATATACAACTTCGATGTTTATTTATTTATTGTTATGACATTTTTGAAATAGTGCTTCCATGAGATCCGTTAAATTCTAAGTTTCTGTACCCTGAAAATAATACACTCTGTATATTCAATTGCATCTAGTTATCATTCAATCACTTACCATCAATCAGTTCTTGTTTATAATTGCCTTGTAGTAATTGGTGCTTCGAGTGTTCTCTGAGATTCCTGTGGAATACAAATACGAGAAATAAATAACCTAACATTCTCATATTGAGTTCTTCAAAATATACATTCACATCACTGTTGAGTTATATTGTCAATCTGTGTCACTTCTGTTGAGTTCATATCATTGAAAGGTTTGATTAAAAGGGTTCACCTGTGACGTCATTGAAGATGATTTTACCCCGAACAGACCGTCTGTGACATCAATAACCATGACGACCAGATAACCGCAATAATTAACCCATTTCATGGGATTGCGAAATAAAACTGACTAGATGACAAGTTGACATACCTTTGACAGAGAATTGTGCTCACATCTTGGATGGATTTGCCTTATACGTATTAGGAGGTGAATATAAGTTTCTTATTCTTGAGAAAAGAAAGAAATATCCACTTCAGTGTTTTGGGATTTGAATTATTCTATCTTCCTAATCAAACCGTAATCGTTAGACCTCACTTCAGGCCGTCCACTATATACAGGTACATCTTCCACTAGCTTGTCAACTATCCATTGAGAGGTATCTTAATAGGCACCTCTCCCAAATAAAACTGGAACTTGGCACAGAATTGTTCGTATAACCTTACTTTGTTTCAGGCCTTTTCATTTTTGGCCCTTTCGCTTTATCTCTTCGTTGTACGTTGGTTACATCTTGACGATTAGCTTATTGTTACCTTTGTTACGGTACTACAAGAAGTCTCTGACAACCAGAAAATCATTGATTACAACTATAATACTTACCACAGAATCTCAAGATTATTTATGAACACACCAGATCTCTACAAAGTTTCGAACGAAGAGAATATCCATTGAAGAAAGATATACGCTGGCAACACCTTGATCAGGCGAGCTCTTTCCATTATTTCTATTGCTTTACTTATATTAATATTACACCTCTTGTTGCTTGTCAATTATCCTGTTTATTAGTTACATTTGAATGCTGCTTTTTGGCTGTGAAGCCTTATCTACCAGTGATTCTGGAAGAAAAAATACAACTAACTAAATATCACAACTCTGAAATTATATTTACTTACCACTTACTAGTTTATATATATGTAAACTCTGATGTATATATACATAGGGGTATCAAATGATCATGTCCTTCTCCCCATGCTGATTGAATGTGAATGTAGTTAAGTCTACTTGCAACTTGCACAACGAATAAATCCACTTCCTATCACACGAGAGTATTTTTTCCACGACCCACTCTCCGAAAGTAGCTAACCACAGTATTTTAATTAGTAAAAACCCCATTATAGCCCCAAACGTTGCTCCTATCATTTAGAGGCGTTTGCAGGTTATAACACACTGTTACAACTATAAATATACACACTACCGTGAGAAGGTTATGTTGCTTGAAGTGAACTCTACACGAATCGCGAAATTTTAATTTACAGAGGTATCTCAGGGCTCTTTTTTGTAAAACAAAAACATTTTGAAGAACATTTCCGTATTAGGAATCACACGTTAAAAGGTAAGACCTCGTTAGTCCTTAGCTCGCACAAGTTTCTCAACTTCTGAGAGTTGTCGTTCGTATGGGGGCGGCAGCTGATTAACGGAAAAACAGATTTTAAACAGACAGATTTTAAACAGATCAAGGAGTAGTATACTGACTTTGCGATTGTGTAACCTAGTTCGTTTGCAGCAATTTTTACAGCATAACAACCAGAGGACAATTTTTCATTCAGGTTTTTGACACGTTCATTAAATTTCAGACCGTTGTCACTGTATAGTCCTGAAAATTTAGAAAACACACTGTTTTCAATGGTCTGGTGGTTGATAGAAAGATCAGATACTGCGCATTGGAGGACACTATCTTGGTTTTTAATATATTGAAGGATAAAAGGTTTGAGTCGCACCACTCTTTCTGAATTGATGACCTGTTGAAGATCGGCTTCCTTATCTTTATGCCATAGTATGGTGGTATCATCGGCGAATAGTGTGAAACTTCCTGAAATGTCGAACATCGTCAAGTCATTTACATATAGTAAAAACAAAATCGGACCTAAGACTGATCCTTGCGGAACACCACATTGTATATTACGTAAGCTTGACATTGTTTTTGTTTTTACTACTTGTGTGCGGCCAGATAAATATTTCGTAAACCATGAATGTGCCTTATTTCTAAATCCGTAATGGTGAAGCTTTCGCAGCAGTATCTCATGATTCACACAGTCAAAAGCTTTCGATAAATCATAAAACACAGCCGCCGCAACTCTCCCATCATTGATTCCAGTATTTATTTCATATAAAAGTGAAAAAATTGCATCATTTGTGTTCTTATTGCACTGAAATCCAAACTGTTGGATGCTCAATATATCGCACACCTGCAAAAAGTCAAACATTCTTTTCTTAACGAGTCTTTCGATGATTTTGGCTAACGTAGGAATGAGTGAAATGGGCCTAAAATTCCTAGGAGAGCTCACTTCACCACCTTTATAGATCGGAATGATAATTGATGTTTTGAGAAACTGTGGAAATATGCCTTCTTGGAAGGAATCATTTATCAGAGATACTAGATGATTCAGAATATCTGGAAGATTTCCAAAGATCCTAACAGAAATGTCATCAAATCCTGTTGCAGTTTTATTTTTAATTGTATGTAACGTTTCTTTCAATTCATCAATATTAGTGTCATACAAGATTAGGTTTTCATTAACATTGAAGTTTGCTAGATTTATTAGTGGATCATAAGCTACGGGTATATTTTTTGTCAATTCATCTGCAACTGAAGTATAATACTCATTTAATGTGTTCGGATTCAACTCCAAATCTACTTTCTTTTTGGGTTTTTTTCCTACAAGATCATTTACTATCTTCCAACTCTCCTTTGATTTGTTGGTGGAACTGTCAATGCGATTTTTATAATAATTTTCCTTTGCTAACTTCATCAACTTTCGATATACTGAGCTGTACATATTGTAGTAGTTATGGAAATAATCTGTATTTGTATATTTTCTGATATAATGCAGAATTGCAGAATTCTTTAATCCTTTAGTGAGCCATTGTTCCACACATATTATGACATCAATAGGTCTTTCAAATGAATAAAAAAATTCGATGATATCTTACACATATCCCAAGTTTGAAAATAGAAAGCGCTTAATAAAACACCCTATGAAAACAACTCAATGGTTGACAGTAGCAGATCAGTTCAGTACAATTCGCGACAGCGGTAGTACGGGAAGTGAAGCAGTAAAGCAAGTGAAGTAATTGTAGAGATATTGAAGCGTGAGTGTTTTTAACTGTTCTCTTGTTTTGAATGAAGTTGCTGATTTCCTGAAAGAAGCCCCCATTGAAAACCCCAGCGGCGTAACAGCACCTTTCGACGAAAGTAATAACCACCCAAAATCTTTTATTAATCCGGTAATCCCGGATAATTTCCGATACGCCCAATCCGGCGCATATTCGCATCCTTTTCTCGGAAAAATATTTATGAAGACTGCGATCGGGAGGAAGCAAATAAAGTAACTATTCTGTGAATATGTGAGCACAGAACGGATGCGAAACGCAGAGCGAATACAAATCAATGGATAGAAGTTTTCCAATCCATTTCCCGGCTTCCCATGAGGACGCCGAAAACACTTCGCTATATTAGGAGCACACCTGTAGTACGTAAATTCCAGGGACGTCCCCGGCGGGATTACGAAGGGGGGCGAGATGGTATTGAGAATCATAACGGGATAGTTTGCCGCTGGGACTAGGTCGGGCGAATTCTCTGTGTTATTTTCACTTCACAGACATTGTGTCAGTGGATATAGTCGGAAAGTTTTCGGAATTCGTTACAAATTACCGAACGTTAACATTTTCGGGCCAACCTAGTGAACATTTTTTCGTTTGTTTGAAGGTGATTGACAATGTTTCATGATGAATTTCACTAGTTCGGACTTCCATTGTCTACTATATAAAATGATTTTAAATCCCTGAAACAACTAAAAAAGAAGAATTGAAAATGAGTAGCTGAAAATAACAATTATATTAACCAAAATAAACCTGAAATGAAATAATAGTGAAATAAAATACAAGTAAAAATAGAACAATTGAATAAATAAAATGGCCAACTCCCGCCAAAACGGCCATCTCCCACGGAACCAGTGAAGCGGAAAATGGAAAGCGGGGATAAGTGAAAGTACTCGAACGACCTATAAATAGTCATCTCTCGGAGGAATCAGTCCAGTCATCACCCGAAGACGATTGTAGATACTAACAATCGAAACGTCTTGAACTAACGTGACTTGGAATCTCTCCACTTTTTTATTTTTATTTTCTTTCTGAATTGGAATATATAGTATTGGAATAGTATAGTAAAGTGGTATAGTAAAGTAAAGATCAAACAAGGTCATATTCAGAGCTTTGGGATACAAAAACTCGCTGTTCTGAATTCTAAACATATTATAAATAATGATAACAATATTCCAATGAGACGTCTTTTGAAAATAAAGTATTTGACACAGTAATGCAAGTATCATCTGCATACATAAGCACCCTTCCTTGAGATATGTGAATGGGACGGTCGTTAATGAAAATGAGGAAAATTAGAGGACCGAGTACGCTTCCCTGGGGTGTACCAGTATCTGTTTCAAATTCATCCGAGATGACGGCATCAATCTTAACAATGAACTTTCTTCGTTCGAGGATAGACAACTCATTGATTGGCTCATATAAGCTAGTAGATCAATGAAAATATCTAGAGTCCTACCATAAAAATAAAAAATAAAAATTTTGAATGTCACATATTCTGAAAAACATTGGTTATATACAATATAAACAAAATAACATACCAACACAAAATACCAACACAATATATAAAGATATATACAGGGCTATTCAAATTCGTTTGTGTACATGGGGATCTCGTAAACGATAAGAGATAGAGTGTCCGTTAAATAATGACAAAGTTGAGTATTTTAGAAACCTATTCAATAATGTAAATAAATCGAATATAGCTCTTTTGGTTCTGGAGATATACTGGAAAAACCAAAAAATCCCAAATTGTTTTTTTGCCTATATCTTCTTTATTCGCAGACATATTGAAAATCTGTCCACATTTTGCTATTGGCACTTGATGTGGGCTCTCAGAATATATCCATGAATCTTTTATACAGGGTGTCATCTGACTTGGGCCACCCCCATCTATGAATTTTTAAATACGGACCTTTTTTTTTTGTAGTAGGTTTTGTATCGGCGACGTTCACTTCATACTGAGAAATTAAATAAAATTTTATATTTCGGGATTTTTGGGTAATATTTGATTATAATTGTGTGAATTATTTCCTTTTGAATTACGGCCCTGGAAATTGGTTGACTGAGTTGAATAAAAACATAATAGCAACTTTCACGTCTCCCTATGTATCGTAGAGTTTTTCGAGAGTTTTTTTTCATTTTTATCCGAAACGAACACTATAATTGTAATGAAAATTGAAATGAAGTAATTTATATGGGTACCCAAAAAAATTATTGGCGCAATAAATGTTAGAATTGGAGTCCTTCCATTTCGAGATATTTTTAAACTCGGTTTTTCATATTATTCATTGCCCTTAATACACTTCTTTGCTACAATATTTGCTCAATCTCGAGTGTTCCACATTTTCTATCTCTCTGCCAGCGTAAATCCTATTTTTCAATGTCCCCCATAGAAAATAGTCCAAAATAGTGGTGATCTTGCAGACCATCTTATTTTCCCATTATTTGTCTCAAAATGGAAGGAATCCAATTCGAACATTTATTGCACAATTAATTTTTTTGTGTATATAAATTACTTACTTCATTTCAATTTTTATTATAATTATAGTGTTTGTTTCGGATGTTATTATTGCTACCACTTTTTCTTCTGCTTACAAAACACATATAATATATTTTTGTTGTAGATATGTTTCAGATAATCATAAAAGGTTTTCTTATTCGAAGTTCATTGTAGAAAACGCTCAGAGCAATGGAAAAAATATGAATAGGTACTTAAAAATGAAAAAAACTTTCGAAAAACTCTACGGTACATAGGGAGACGTGAAAGTTGCTATTGTGTTTTTATTTAACTCATTCAACCAATTTCCAGGGCCGTAATTTGAAATAAATGACACAATTATAATTGAATATTACCGAAAAATCCCGAAATATAAAATTGAATTTAATTTCTCAGTATGAAGTTAACGTCTACGATTCAAAAACTAAAACAAAAAATAC